GCCCCCTCGGGGGCCCCCTCGGGGGCCCCCTCGGGGGCCCCCTCGGGGGCCCCCGGGGGGCCCACGAAGGACTCCAGGGGCTCTTCGGGGGAACAGGGGGAGAGGCAGACTCGGCCGTCCTCTGTGCGCCTCTCGCCGCCCACGGCCAAGTCCCAGGCCGCTCCTGCTGCTGCTGCTGCTGCTGCTGCTGCTGCTGCTGCTGCAGCGTTTTGAGTGGACAAGTAAATGATTTGGTCCGGCGTTAAGACGTAATTGAAAATCGAAAGGCCAGAGATCGACCCCACGAAGTAGTCGGAGTCCGCGGCGGCCGCGCGGCCAATAACAATGGAGTTCTGCGTCGATTTGAAATTAAACTTGAAGTTAAAATTCAAAATAAAAGAAACAATATCCCGCTTCGCAGCTGCAGCAGCAGCAGCAGCAGCAGCAGCAGGGCTGCTGCTGCTGCTGCTGCTGCTGCTGCTGCTGCTGCTGCTGCTGCTGCACTTGCCTTCATGTTGAAATCGAAGTCCGTCAATTCCGAAACAACTTGTTCTCCGTTGAAGTAAATGGCGACGCGCTTTTCGGGGGAAAAGAAAGAAACCGCCAAGTGGAACTTTTCTGCGAAGTTCAAATTCAACTTTTGCAAATTCAACTTTTGCAAATTCAACTTTTGCAAATTCAAGTTTTGCAAATTCAAGTTTTGCAAATTCAACTTTTGCAAATTCAACTTTTGCAAATTCAACTTTGAAAAGTGGAAAGCGAGAAAACCCAAAGACGAAATGAAATAAAAACTTCAAAGTCCTCTCACCATCCATTTCGGGAACTATTCCAGAGCTGATCACCCGAGGATCGCAGTTGTTTTCCAACAAGATCTCTCCTTCTTTGTTGACAGCAAGCAGCAGTCCGCCGCAGCCGCTGTGCGAAACAAGAGTCCTCCATTTGCCCTTTCCGCCTGCAAAAACGGCATTTATTGTTTTATTTATTTTTAAAATTGTTTTTTATTTTATTTCCAAAGTCCACTCGCCCTTGACGCTCGCAGTGAGGGATATCGTGAAGTCTGCAAAGCCGTTCAGCCCCTCCGAGCCCGGCAGGTCCCTCAAGTCCACGAAGTCGCCGCCCTTGCCGCGAAAACCTTCGAATGAAATTCAATTAAATGCAAAAGAACAAAAAGAAAAAAAGAGAAAAGAACAAAAAGAAAAAGAACAAATAAAGAAAAAAGACTTGCCGGCAAAGTCCGGGGGAGGCGTCCACTGGAACTTGGGGGGAACTTGAATTGGATTTTGCTGCTGGTTCAGCTGCTGAAGTCTCAGAGACGCTCCTGAGGAGAAGAGTAAATTTCAAAAAATAAAAAACAAAATAATTAAAATGAATTAAATTAAATTAATTGCCTCTCAAAGATGAATCCCCTGCGTATTTGACCGCAGCTTTCGGCTTCGGCTCTTTGTCGGATCTGGCCTGCACGTCGGCGACGAGGTGCGTCACGAGAACTGGCCGAGCGAAGCATCAGAAGTTGCGGAAAGAAATTTTAAATTTTGAATTTTAAATTTTAAATTTAAAATTTTAAATTGCAGAATTTATAAAATGAAATACTTTCATTAATTGCGGCTCACAAGACCTGGCGTGGGCGTCCGCAGCGGCGCTGCTGATGCCGTTTCGCGCAGAGCCGAAGTACGCATTCTGGCCGTGGGCCAAAACTATGGCGATCTTCCCGCCATTTCTGCCCAGGACTCCAGCATGAATGGCGGCTTTGCAAATCTGAAGAAAAAAAAGAAGAAGAGGAGAGTTTGAGGAGAAGAGGAGAGTCTGAGGAGAAGAGTTCAAGTTCGTGGCTTTCCGCACGGGGGAGTCGTCGGTGTAGATGAAGGTGCCGCGGATCTCCGTCTGTTCTTCGCTGTTTCGAAGCGAACTTGCAAAGTTTTTGAATTAAAAATAAATTCAAGTCCCCACTTGCAGCCGCTCGGGCAAGACCCCAGGAAGAGCGCCCCTGGCTGGCCCCCCAGGCCCCTCTTCGAGGCAGCTTTGTCTGAACAGGAAAGCTGCAGCAAAGGCCGGAACTTTCTCTTCGAAACTTCTGGAAGATCTTCTTTTTTGAAAGCCCCGACTCCCGTGGGGTCTCCGTCTCCGCGGCAGGCCACTACGACGTCTTCGCTGTGGGCGCAGTAGATGTCGGACTTGGTCTCGTGGGGGCAGTTTCGGAGGGCTTTTTCGTCTCCTGAGGCATCCCACGGCGTTAAATTGCAATTTAATTCCAAATAATCCAACAATAAATCGAAAAAACTCCTTTTAAATCCATCAAATCGACAAAATTCTTCTCTTCTCACCTTCGCATGCAACATTCACCATGTGAATCGGCTCCTCGTGAGGGCCGCACATGTTCAAGCCGTTCACGTCTTCGCAGCTCTTCCCAGAAATGCCTCCGTTCTGCACTCACTGCCTCAAAGCCCGCAGCAACTGCAGCAGCAACAGCAGCAACAGCAGCAGCAGCAGCAGCAGCAGCAGCAGCAGCAAAAGCTTGCCTTCATGCCAGTGTATCCCATTTGCATGCAGGAGACGCGCTCGGACTCCTTAGTCCAGCCGTCGTCGCAGACGCTGCCCCAGCCTGTTGCAGCAGCAAATTCAGCAGCAAGAAGACGAAGCCGCAGCTAGCTGCTGCTGCAGCAGCAAAAAGGCCGCAGCTGCTGCTGCTCAGCAGCAACAACGCCGCGCCGCAGCCAGCTGCTGCTGCTGCTGCTGCTGCTGCTGCTGCTGCTGCTCACCGTTCTTGTACACCTGCAGCCGCCCAGTGCCCCCCAAAGAAGGAGATCCGTCTTCATCCACAATTCGCAAAGTCCCAAACAAAGGCTCCCCCGGGGGGTTGTTTGAACACTTCACTGCCACATCCAGTTTGTGGCTGCTGCACTCAGCAGCAGCAGCTTCCTCGAAAGTGCAATCCTGGAAGCTCTTCTCCGGGCCTAGGCACTGCACGCCGGGCCATTCACTTAAAGCTGCAGCAGCAGCAGCAGCAGCAGCAGTTGTAGCAGGAGCCGCAGCAGCACGAGGCAGCAGCAGCGCGAGGCAGCAGCAGCGCGAGGCAGCAGCAACAGCAGCAGCAACTGCAGCGGCACAATGAAGCAGCAGCAGCAGCAGCAGCAGCGCTGACCATGACTCCTGAAGAGGTCGAGGGAGAAGCAGCGGGAGGCGAGAAGCAGCAGAAGTTGCAGAAGTGAAGAGTTGCTGCTGCAGTGTCTGCTGCACTAACCTGCTGCAGCAACGGGGTAGCCAGGCCCCGCGCAGACGTTGTGGCCGTCGAGGCTGAGGCAGCCGTCTTCGTGGTACATTCCGTGCAAATAGCCTTTAGGGAATTTATTTTAAATTTAAATTTGAAATAAATCCATGGCGAATTTATTTTAAATTTAATTTTGAAATAAATCCAAAATTAATTCAAGTTTCTTCTTCACCTATTTGCTGACACGCCTTCCGCGCCGAGTCTTCAGTGAACACCGCAAAGTCGCCTTGTTTGCTGCAGGTCGTTTTCATTTGCTGCTGCTCGCGAAACAGCAGCAGCAGCAGCAGCAGCAGCAGCAGCAGCAGCAACGGCAGCAGCACAAGATAGCAGCAGCAGCAGCAGCAGCAGCAGCAGCTCACCACACAGTGCCCCAGACTCCGTTTCGGCGGAGCTCGAGGCGGCCGCTGGCGGCGAGCTTTCCGTGGGCTGCGGGAGTTGTTCAGATTTGTCGATTTTGAACTTCAAATTTGCACTGAGTCCGCGAGTTTCTTACCATCTACTACGCGGATATCGCTGGAAATATCATCAATTGAATCTATTTAAAAAAATAAATAATAATAAATGATAAATAATAAATAATAATGAATAAAGTCCGAGAAATAAGCAGCAGCAAGGAGAAGACGCCCACCGCTTCGATACAGAAAGAAGCTGAACGAGGCGGCCCGCGGCGACGGCCAAACTTCAAAGGCTCGCGGCTCTGGAAAAAGGAAAACAAATCAATTTAATTTAATTTAAAGTTTTAAAATAAATATATTTATTTCTTTTACTTTCTCCCGGCTTCGGCGGCGGCAGCCCAGAGTACTCAGGCAGCGGCCCGACCACTGACACCACCAGCACCCCCCCTGGAAAGAAGAATCAAGAGACGTGAGAAAGCACTATATCTGCTGCTGCTGCTGCTGCAGCTGCTGCTGCTACGCTGCTGCTGCTGCAGCTGCTGCTGCTGCTGCTGCTGCTGCTGCTGCTGCTGTTGCTGCTGCTGCTGCGCGTACCTGAAGGCGAGGCGACGCCGTCGGCCTCTGCGGCGGAGCAGACGGAGGAGGCGGCGGGGTGTATGGACGCCCCCTCGGTGAGGGCGAATTCGGCGGCGGCGCAGTTCATGGGGCACCTCACTTTAAAAGTTTGCAGGTGTTCTGGGGCGCTGTCAGCAGCAGCAGCAGCAGCAGCAGCAGCAGCAGCAGTGAGCCCCGGAGCTCGCAGAAAGCCGAACTTTCGCAGACCTACAGGCTCACTAAGTCGCTGCCCCGCGTGTGGCACTCCACGTCTTGAGGCGCTGAGTCCGAGTCTTCTGAAGGCCGCAGACTCACTTTCACAGAATCTGCAAAAGGACTTCCGATCCACCTCTTCACCGCAAACGCAGCAACGCTGCCCCCCTCTGTTGCTATCCGCAGGCTTTCGCAGAACCACGGGTCTTCTTCTGCGCCGTTGTGCAGCAGCACCGACTCCAGCTCGCCCACTGCAGCAGCAGCAGCAGCAGCAGCAGCAGCGGCAGCAGCAGCAGCAGCAGCAGCAGCGGCAGCGGCAGCGGGAGGAACTGTCTGCGGGTTGGGGGCTGCGAGGCAAAAGCGCTCACCGTCTGCAGCGCGAAAAGCCACTCTTTCCTCCGCCCCGGGCTTGACCCCCAGCAGCAGCAACTTGGGGCTGGCTTGGCGGTAGCTGCCGCTCATTGTGAGTTCAATTGGGCCAACAGTTCCTGCTGCAGCAGCAGTTAAAGAAGTCCCCAGAAGCAGCGCAGCAGCGCAGCAGCGCAGCAGCAACTGACTTCTTTCACTGCTGCAGCAGCAGTGAAAGAAGCCCGCAGAAGCAGCGCAGCAGCGCAGCAGCGCAGCAGCGCAGCAGCAACTGACCGTGCTCGTCGTTGCCCGTCTGCACGGTGGCCTCGTACATCTTGTTCCCCGACATGGTGAACGTCTGCAGCAGCAGCAGCAGCAGCAGCAGCAGCAGCAGCAGCAGCAGCAGCAGCTGCAGCGCAGCAAAGGAGAAGTGCAAGGTCTCTCCTCACCGCCTCCCGGCGCTTGCTCGTCAAAGTCTGCACGCAGTCAAACAGCCAGTAGCGAAAGTCCTTCCAGACCACCAGGCGTTGGCAGCGCCAGGGCTGGCTGCCCGCCAGGACTGCCTGGACTTCTTCGGGGTCCCCCACATCGACGGACTCCACGGTGATTCTGCTCATTAAAAGGCAAAATAGAATAAATAAAATCAATTTAACTTCGAAATTGCCAGAGTTTCACCGCTTGTGCGTTCCAGACCGCGCAGAAGCCACGGAAATCGGCGGAGTCGCCCGCCCCGAGCTTCCCACGAGGCGAAAGCTCACGTCGTTGCTGAAACAAGTCGAAGACTGCAGCTTTCTTTTTCATTTTGAACTAAACTCACGCTAAGTCCACTCCCGGGCCATAGGCGGGCACAATTTCCAGAGTGTAACTCGCAGTTCCCGCGCCGCGGCGCGCACAAATTGCAAATTCAGCTTTCCCATGTTCGGGCGCCGCGCGGCACCACTCCGTGTACTCGGAAGCGGCGCTTTGCGGCGAAAGCCACAACAATAAAAGGCATAAAGGCGTTGTTGCATGCATTTTTGCATGCGTTTTTGCTGCTGAGTTCCGCGCTTTCCACACAGATCGCCGCAGAGTCGCCGCTGCCAAGAGCGACTTGAACAGCGCCAAAGCTGTACAGACACCGCCGCCTCTCTTCCGAAAGGCGCCACAAGCTCCCCAACTGCGCACTAAACTGTCTACAACTTCTGCTGCTTCGCAGCACTAACTGCAGCAGCTAGCTGCTTTCAGTTCACTTCCTAACTTTGCTGCCGCAGCTTCCACGGCGCTGCTGCTTCCCCGGACTTCGCCAACTCCCTGAAACTCAGACTGCTGCTGCTGCGCCAACTAAGAGAAAGTGTTCAACAAAAACTTTCAAAAAATCAAATGAGAATTCGGCTTTATCTGGAGTCCTCTGGGGGCGTCCCCGCTGCTGCTAAGACCTGCGGGGCCCCCCGCTGCTTCAAGTGGACCCCGAGACAAGCTGCAGCAGACTGCAGCTGCTGCAGCACAGCAGCAGGAGGGTCTGGCAGCAGCCGATTCCGCACAAGAGCCAGCAGCTCATGGACAATTTCAGCAGCAACGGCCTTCGCGTTTGGTGCTGCTGGATTGGCAGCAGCAACTAGCTGTGCAATGCGCTCGAAGTGCGTCTGCGGCTCTGCTGCTGCTGCTGCTGCTGCTGCAGTTTGCTGCAGATTTGCCGCAGCAGAAGCCTCAGCAGCAGCTGAAGAGACTGGGGCCTCAAAGTCCTCCCTTTCAGCCCCAGTCGCCTTCGCCGCAACTGCCTCTGCTGCTCCTGCTGCTCCCTCTGCTGCTGCTGCTGCTGCTGCTGCTGCGCTGCAGCGGCTTCCGCGGTCTGTCTGGCAGGAAGAAGACGAGGGCGAGCGAACACAAAGAGACTCAGCTTCAACTCCTGAGTCAGAGACCCGCCGTGGGGCTGGGGGGCCCCCCTGCTGCAGGGGCCCCCCCCCACAGCTGGGGGCCCCCCCCGCGTCTGTTGGCCCCTGAGCGCGTCGTTTCCTGGGGCGCACGGCCTCCTGCTGCTGCCGCTGCTGCTGCAGCAGCTGCTGCTGCTGCGGCTGCTCCGCGCGCTCCCCCGCCTGCCCCCCCCCCGCAGCAGCAGCAGCAGCAGCAGCAGCAGCAGCAGCAGCAGGGGGGCCCTGGGGCTGCGCACGGCGCCTGTGGTCTTCGTTCTCCTGGGCAATTTCCTCCACGGCGCGCCACAAGCCCAAGACCCAGGCGAGGGCGAGGAGCTCGGCGACGGTGGCGTAGCGGAGGCGGACTCGTTCAAGTCCGTGTTCGATCAGCAGTGCGTTCTGCGCAAAAAGCGAAAATAAAACTAAAAATAATAAATATTTGCAAAATTAAATGCAAATTTCAACTTTGTTTTCAATTTGCATGCAAAATCTTCCGCAGTTACCGCCTGCGCCGGGTCCTCCTCCATCCGCCGCGTGATCAGCAGCTTCAGCCGCACCCGCCCGTGCAGACCAATGGTCAGGCTCTTGCTGGGACTGAACCAAAAAAGCCAAAAGCAAACATAAAAAAGCAAAAATTACCCAAACCCCAAACCCCAAACCCCAAACCCTAAACCCTAAACCCTAAACCCTCCATCTTGCACGGCGCGGGCGCCGACGACTGCCGCCGAAGACGCCAGGTGAGCCCCGAACCGCGCAAACGGAGCGCCCATCTCGTGAAACTAAGCACGAAACACAAATAAAAACTCATTTATTGTTAAATGCATGCAAAATAAAAAGACTTACTCGTAGATAATGTTGAGGATCCGCCCCCCCGAGTCGCGGATCACGTGCATCGAGGCGCTGCTGCTGCGCCGCCGTCTGCGGCTCTGCGCAGCTTTGAAATTCGCAAAGGCCAAATGAAGCCCCGAAAGGCAGCCGCTGACGCGCTCGGCGCGAATGCGCTGCACCAGCGGCCACAGCCCTCTGCAGCAAACGCGCAGCAGCAGCAAACCCCAACGCCCTGCTGCAGCAGCAGCAACAGCAGCACAAGCAGCAGCAGCAGCATAAGCAGCTGCAGCAGCACCAGAAGCAACAGCAGCAGCAGCAGAAGAGGCAGCAGCTGCACCACGAACAGCAGCACCAGCAGCCCAAGCAGCAGCAGCAGCAGCAGCAGCAGCAGCAGCAGCAGGAGCAGCAGCAGGTTGCTGGTGCGGACAAAGCCTGGGCGAGCCGCAGCAGCTGCGAGACGCTGGCGCCCTGCAGCGCGCGGCCTTCGGTGAAGTGCAGCAAAGAGGCCCTCAAGAACTCCCGGCCCCCCTCGCCTATGGCGAAGGCCACGCCTTCTGTATACGGCTCGGCCTGCCCGCAGCAGCAGCAGCAGCAGCAGCAGCAGCAGCAGCAGCAGCGGCAGCAGCGGCAGAGGGAGCGAGAAGCTTGGTGGGGCTTCGACAGCGCTGCTGCTCCTGTGCAGCAGAGAAAATGCAAAGGGACTTTTCGCTGCCCAAGGAGCCAGCAGCGAGCTTAGGGTTTAGGGTTTAGGGTTTAGGGTTTAGGGTTTAGGGTTTAGGCGTCTCACAGTGAGGTTGTGCTGCAGCAAAAGCTGCTTCAGCTCTTGAGCATTCATATATTCCAAAACAGCTTCTTTGGTCACGAAGGGCCGCCCAATCTCTTCATCCGATGCAGCAGCAGCAGCAGCAGCAGCAGCAGGAGCTGCTGCTGCTGCTGCGCTGCTCCTGTTGCCTTCCAGGCGCTCCAGCCTTCGCTGGCCCTTTTGGGCTTGCCGCTGCTGCTGCTGCTGCTGCTGCTGCTGCTGCTGCTGGTCAGCAGCAGAATTGCATGCAAAAGAATCCTCGCAAGCTGCTGCGGCGGGGGCCCCCAAAAGACCGCAAGCAGCCACGGGGGCCCCCCGCAAGGAGGGGCCCCCAAAGGGCCCCAGCTGGCTCCATGAAAGCTGCTGCTGCTGCTGCTGCTGCTGTTGCTGCTGCTGCTGCTGCTGCCCCTGAGGGCCCCCGAGAGGCCCCCATGATGCATCTGCTTCTTTTGGGGTCCCCAGGGGCCCCAGCTGGCCCTCTGGGGCCTCCGGGGGGCCCCCTGGGGGGCCCCCCAGGGGGCCCCCCAGGGGGCCCCCCGTGGCGCTCTTGAACCCTGGGCTTCTAAGGGGGGCCCCTTGTAAGGGAGAGGAAGTTAAAGGTAGGGGATCTGCTGCAGCAGCAGCTGCACCGGGAGCTGCAGCAGCAGCAGCAGCTGCTGCTGCTGCTGCTGCCGGTGATGCTGCTGCAGCAGCTGCAGCAGATGAGCCGGGATGCAGCATGGCTGCCTGCTACGCCCGTAACCCCCCTCGAACGCCTTCTACAGAGGCCGCCATGAACCACAGCAGCAGCAGCAGCAGCAGCAGCAGCAGCAGCAGCAGCAGCTGCAGGCGGCTCCAGCGGGGCTGGAGAGCCCCTAAAAGTGCATAAAAGAAAAATAATTGAATTAATTAATTAAAAAATTAAATAAATAAAAAAGATCGAAGAAAAGCAACGGCTGGCGCCGCCGGCTTGCTAAAAGGAGGTCCCGAGCAGCAGCCGCCTCTCAGCAGCACTGCAGACCCCCCGAGCTTCGAAAGGCCTCTTTTGCAATAAATTTTGGATTTAAATTAAAATAAATTAATTTTTAAATCCAAAAAAAGAAGACTTGACTTCAAAGCTGCTTGTCTCGCATGTAGCCACAGCCCCTGCCTCAAGACTGGACACTGAAGCCTCGAGCCGCAGCAGCAGCGGGCCCTGCGGAAGCCCCGAAGCCTCAAAATGAATTAAATTCAAATTTCCATTTTATTTAATTGCAAACAATCTCAAAAAGCGGCAAAAAGAAGCTGCTGCTGCTGCTGCTGCTGCTGCAGCAGCAGCAGCAGCACTTGCGCTCGGGCTGGTGATCGCTTGGGGGCCCCCGGGCCCCCGCTGCTGCTGCTGCTGAGCTGCTGCAGCTGCGTTTGGGGGCCCCAATTGAAAAAAAAGAGAATAAATTGAATTGCAATTATAAAAGGACTTTTGTGTTTGATGAACACTTCATTTAATCCCGGGTTTCCGCGCAGACGTGTCTGTACACCGCGGGGCCCGCCGCAGTGTGTATGTACACCGCAACTCGCAGCCACTGCTGCGCACTGAAATCCACAACATGTGACCTTCACTTCATTTTAAATATTCTTTTCTTTCAACAAAGTCCAAAATGAACAACGAAGACCCAGGGGCCCCCTCGCCCCCCGCCGCAGGGGGCCCCCCCGTGTACTGCTGCTGCAGCGCCCGGCGCTCGTTTTGCCTGCAGCAGCAGCAGCAACAGCAGCAGCAGCAGCAGCAGCAGCAACAGCAGCAGCAGCAGCAACTGCAGCAGCAGCAGCAGGGGCGTTTAGAAGAAGAGAAGCTGCTGGCGATAATTCCGCCTTATTGGAATTTGTATATCACCAACTGCAAACTGCGGTGGAGAGACAGGCGGTGCGGCTGCTGCTGCTGCTGCTGCTGCTGCTGCTGCTGCTGCTGCTGCTGCTGTGGGGCATTTTTGCTGTTTGTGTCAGCAAATGGAATTGAATTTGAATTGAATATGAATTGAATTTGAATTAAATTTGAATTAAATTTATTCAAAAGTAAAGACCAGAAAGAAACTCTTTTGGTTTTATTTTATTTTTTTTTTATTCTTTTTATTTCTTTTAATTCCTTTTCAATTCCTCTTCTTCCATTTTTCATTTATTTATTTTTTTGCATTTTTTGTTTTTTTTATTTCCCCGAATGTTCTTTAAATCATTTTATTCTTTTCTTCTTTCAGTTCTTTTTATTCTTTTAATTTCTTTTTTCTTCTTTTAATTTCTTTTTTATTCTTTTAATTTCTTTTTTTACTTTTTTTATTTCCTTTTTATTCTTTTAATTTCTTCCTTTTATTCTTTTAATTTTTTATTTTTTTAATTTCTTTTTTTCTTTTTTTAATTTTCTGTTTTGCTCTTCAGTTTTCTTTTTTATTTCTTTAATTTCTTCTGCATCTTTTTTGTTCTTTTATTTTTTTAATATTTTTTAATCTTTTATTTTCTTTTAAATTTTTTTTATTCTTTTATTTTCTTTTATATCTTTTTTATTCTTTTATTTCCTCTTATATCTTTTATTTTAATTTCTTTTTATTTTTTTATTCCTTTAATTTCTTTTACGTCTTTTTCATTCTTTTATTTTCCCTTTTATTTCTTTTATTCTTTTAATTTCTTTTATATCCTTTCTATTCTTGTAATTTCTTTTATCTCTTTTATTCTTTCAATTTCTTTTTTATTTCTTGTATTCTTTTAATTTCTTTTTCATTTCTTTTGTTCTTTCAATTCCTTTTACATCTTTTATTTTAATTTCTTTTTTATTTCTTTTATTCTTTCAATTTCTTTTATATCTTTTATTTTAATTACTTTTTTATTTCTTTTATTCTTTCAATTCCTTTTGTATCTTTTATTTTAATTTCTTTTTTATTTCTTTTATTCTTTCAATTTCTTTTACATCTTTTATTTTAATTTCTTTTTTATTTCTTTTATTCTTTCAATTCCCTTTATATCTTTTATTTTAATTTCTTTTTTATTTTTTGAATTTTCTTTTTCAACTTTTTTCTGCACCTCAGCGCACCGCAATCTCAGGTGTACGTACACCTGGTGGGCGCCGCTGCGGCGCGCGAGCTTTCAGAAAAGAACAAATGGCGAAACAAAAGAACAAATAAACAAACAAATAATAAATAAATAGTTTTATTTTTTATTTTTTAATTCTTTTTTCCTTTTTTCAGATTAATTGACGCTTTCACTGCCGAGTTTTCCTGGAAGTCTTCTTCTTACTTCCTCCGCGCAATGCGCGCAGGCGCTCAGGTGTACGTACACCCCAGCCTCCAGCGAAACAGACAGCAAATTCAAAACCCCACAAAACCCAAAACTCCAAACCCCCAGCCACCCAGGGGGGCCCCCCAGGGGGCCCCCCTGTCTAGGGGGGCCCCCCAGGGGGCCCCCCTGTCTAGGGGGGCCCCCCAGGGGGCCCCCCTCTCTAGGGGGCCCCCCCCACAGGAAAACAGTACCCTAAAAGAGGACTCCTTGGAGGGGGGCCCCTCAGGCCTTTACCCCTCAAATGGCACTTCTGAAAACTCCACAAGTACCCATTCGGAGGGCCCCCTTCAGGGGGGCCCCCCTCAGGGGCCCCCCTCACAGGGGGGCCCCTCTGGGGGCCCCTCTGCAGAGGAGATTCCCTCAAAGGGGGGCCCCTGTGCAGAGGGGAGCCCTTCTGAAGGGGGCCCCCTAGAGGGGGGCCCCCTAGAGGGGGGCCCCCTAGAGGGGGGCCCCCCTGAGGGGGGGCCCCCTAAGGGGGGGCCCCCTGAGGGGGGGCCCCCTGAGGGGGCCCCCGGTGAGGGTTGTGGTGGGTTTTATGAATTGTTTATGCAAGTGAATTGGCAGCCTTGCCATGGAGACCAAGTGCTTCGAAATGGAGATATAATTATCCACAATAGCCTCGTTTTGGAGGTAGCTAAACCCTAAACCCTAAACCCTAAACCCTAAACCCTAAACCCTAGCTGCCAAAGGCCCTTTTTCGGGCCTTTTGGCCCGCAACTAGAGCAAAGAGGCATGAGGATGAAGAGGGTTTTTCACTCTTTGTTGCATTTGAATTAAAAGCTTCTTAAATTGCATTTATTTCCTCTTTTGCTGCTTTTAATTTCCAAACTTTTCCATTTCTTTCTTTCTTTTTTGCTGCCTCCAGCTTGCAGCGCCAAATACCCCCGTCAGGCTTCTCTATGAAGACT